CAAAAGCAGCACAGTCCATCAAAAGTCAAAGTATTTAAGCCACATATTTTAAAGACTAAGTTAGTGTCTACCCAATCTCCCCAAGCCAGTTCAAAGCAACCCTTACTTTCACCTGCAGGTCCTCAGAGTTCTCTGTAGACATGTACAAAGACAGCAGCACTGGCAACACATTTGTGATAGCAACAGCCCTCGCGTGCTCCGGAGTGTGTCTCCCAACCTGTCCTAGAGCCCAGGCAGCCGCAGCTTTAATATGATCTTCTGGTTCCTCTGACAGGCAGGCTGACAACTGGGGCACACCCTGCAACCAGGATCAAAAGAGCAAGTGTTCTAAATCTAGAGCGGGATTAAAGAGCCTCTGTGTCTCGGGCGCTGGAAGAAATCATTTCAGCCTTGATCTCTTTTTCTTCCTAAATGGTTCAATAAATGTGCACATCACAAGGGCGGTCATTTCTTAAGTCAACAAAATGACTAGAACTAAATTGCCTTAATTACCTTAACAATCCAACTTGAGTAAGGATGTCTCTACTAGCTTCTACCACCACCACCACCACCCCAAACAGAGGGACATTTAAGCAAGCAACAGGGATGCCTCAGTCCAGGCAAAACCAGTTCCATGGTGACAAACTGAAATGTTTAGGACTTTAAAGTTAATTTTCCTTTGTTTAAAAAGTTAAGGCTGTGAACAGCCCTCAGTGACATGTGCACCCCCAAGTACAGAAATCTGAAAATAAAATAACTACAACAAACTAAAAATCAAATGAACATGAGCAAGAATCCACTCTAAGTGCCCTTCACATGGAATATATTCCGCTGATATAATATCTCCTGAAATGCCACAGACTTTTCCAGTGGCTTTGATCGCCTTCGTAATGGCAGTTCTGCTACTTTCACAGGCAGAACATGGCCAGCTGCTTTTTGTGACACACGTGGGGCATGTGTGCATCTTGCATTTTAGACTCTAATTTTGTTTAAATAATAAAAACATCATCATCAAATGTCTCAAAAATCAGTTTATGTACCTAGGGAAGAATCAAATAAACATACCAAATTTTAATTCTGGATTTTGTAACTAGTGAGACAACAGTAATTGTTTCAAATTTAGTACTACAAGAACCAGCATCATGTGTTAATGCTGCCGTGGCGAAGGTCAAGACCATCACATGTACCTTCCCCATGGCCTTTTAATTTTTTCTTTTGTTTGTTTGTTTCTTTCTTCCTTCCTTCCTTTGCCCCCTCTCCTTTGAATAAGTGTTGTGAAACTTACTCTGTTGCCATAGCTGCCCTTTTCCAAGCACTAAAATGGTATGTCCACAATAGAAAAGGTCACACCTGCTGTGGGGGGAGTAACTTTGTAAAGAGCCCATGTGTGCAAGGCATAAGATTGAGGAAGAGGGGGATGAAGAGAGGAATAGTGGGTGGCCCTTACACCTCATCCCATGCTCCACATTACTGGCTCCAATGAGCCCAGGAACATAACTGTGCTGCAGAGGTTACAGAGTGCCTGCCATAAATGGTCAGCATTATCAAATGGTTCCTGAAGCACCTCAGAGAGAATGCCTCACTGCTGTGTGGTTTGCTTCAGACACTGGGAAAGAATGGCATCAGCCCTCCACCAAATATGGGGAGAGTGTCCTGGCCAGATCCAAAAGGATGCATAGGGTGCACAAGCAACTGCCACTGTGCTCTTCATTCTTCTGATGAGGAATCTTCCTGACAAAGGAGTCAAGGACCAAAACCCAGACACATCCCTAGTGACCCCTCCAAATGCACTGTACTGCTCTAGTCATCGCTGCAGCCTGTAGTGACAGAGAACAAAAGAAAGGCAGGATGGGAGAGCTCAGTGTCACAGAGCATCACTGTGGAATGGGTAGAAGATCAAGATCTCAGGCTCCTTTGTATCCTGAGGATTAGCAAAGGAAAAAAGATCCCCTTCTGTTTAACAAACAGCAGCAGGTTTTCTATGCTGATAAGAACCCTATCCCCTAGAGGGCTGCCACACAGTGTGAGCACATGGTCTTTTAAGTGGGCTTCAGGAAATCCATATCTATATACCAACATATTTTGTGAGCACCTACTATGGGCCAAGGGTAACTATAGGGTGGATTCCAATAACACTATAATTGAGAAAATGCTTAAAATACGCAGAACAGCCATCTGCTGTGCCCTCTGATTGATTGACTACATCTGAAAGAGAACTAGCCAGCACCATCTCCTTATCCAAATGACAGGAATGGGAGGAATACACAGACCTCTGAGGTTCGTGAAAGTGATAAATGGGCAAGTCATTTAAGTGATGTTTTTAACTATAGTGTGTTCTTGCATGTATGCACAATCAATCCTTCAAGATATATATAATATTTAAATTAGTTATAGTAATATGGAAAGCTGTACATTTTCTGTAACTCAAACCTTTTGTCAAAGATCCTCCTAGAAAACAAACCAATAAATACTGGCATTAGCAGTGAAACAACTGAACGCAATTAGGCAATTCTTTCACTGTCCAGTTATGCTTCCTATTTGGTGTCAGCCTACGGTTATCTTATCATATCCTACCACAACATCTGGGAGAAATGAAGCAAGCACCAACCTTGGAGATGATCACTGCCATGGCCAGGTTCTCAGAATGAGCAGCCACATAACCCAGCATCATGATGCCAGGCAGCCGGATGTTCCCTTTGCAAGACTCGATGCAGTCTATCACTGCAGCCACACCTCCTGCATTAACGATCAGCTGTGAAAGCTGAAAGGAAAGAAAAGGTCCAGACACACAAGACAATCTTTACATATGACTTGGCCACACTTTATATAGGACTTAAAAATACTTGACAAAATAGAAATACCATTAAAAAAGTTACTGCATTTACAAAAGAAATGTTCATGTATAATCCACTATTTCAAATGCTCAAATATTCATAGTGGAAAAGTTTATTCTGTGATATAAAAACATTGCATAACTTTTATTCCTATTTTAATGAATTTTAAAGTTCCTCACTTAGACACTAAGCTGAGGGCTTACTACTACCTGGCTAACTACAGAAGTGCCCAGTCACAGTACCTTAGTGTAAAGACTAATCAGTGCCCAAAGACATCAGACTTAATTACCCCCACACACTAGAAGTGATTACTAGCTGGGTGTACTTCTGTTCTTGGAAAATCTCAACCACATACAGATAAATGAAATAGGAATGAGGACTGTAATAAAATGAAAATAGATTTCTCAAAATACAAACAGGAAAAGTCGTCTTAACCTCAAAATCGACATAGGCTTGCTTTGCCTCTTTTTCTTTCACATCTAAAACTCAGAGCAGAAAATTATATTACAGCTAGCTTTCAGAGTGTCACAGTAGGCCAGGGAGCCCCTGTGGTCTGTCCCAACCTACAGATACAATATCATTCTCACCACTCCCAGCTGTCATGAAATGATAAGGGTGACCGAGGTTCATAGTCCCCACAATCTAGAAATGGAAGGCTAGCAATGCTTAGAAACTGGATTTCAAATGCCATTAATACAATTCAGTGGTTCTCAAGTGGTGGTGATTTTGCACTCCAGAGAATGTTTGACAATGTGTGGAGTCAGTTTTTATTGCCATTATCTGTGGGGGGCAGTGATGCCCTCATTGGGCAGAGCCCAGGAACACTGATGAACATCCACTCTACCATGTACAGACAGTCACATCATCCAACATGTCTGCAGTGCTGAGGATGAGGAGCTATGACCTAGTTAGAGGGCATTGAGCAAGCCTCAGACCTCATGAACAAATTGGTGTTTTATTTAAAAAACTGAAACTAAGTATAACTGCACCCTGGAGACACTGCTCTTTTGTTTGTTTTGTTTTTACCTCAGGTGTATGCTTTGCAATCTCTCTAATTAAAGTACAAGCGTTTTTCTTCACATATTCATCTTTGTCCTTCAAACAGGTAAGTACAACCGGGAAAATCTCTGCTTCAACAACCATCTCTGCAAGGTCCACGGAGTGCTTTGCAATGTGACTAAGAGCTGAAAGGACCTGGTGCTGGTGAGCAGAAACATAAGTGAGTTAAAAAATAAAAACAAAAAAACACTACACAGAGTCCACTAGTCCACCCTCCCCCCCCCAAGTTCAGATGCCTCTTAAACAGCTTTATAACATTTCAAATTTCCTTATGAGAAAAAAAGATCTACATAGATATTTAGCTCAATCTAAGATGCTGAGCATTGGGACTTCCATGTATTAGTCACAAACTCAAATTTTTAGATTTCCCCATTAATTTTCTACTGAGTACTTCAAAACCTTTTACAAGTGATTACAATGTAGGACCTTTAGGTAAAACATCACTTCTGCATTACACAGTACATGGGTTGCTAATTCATAATATGTGTGGTATGTAGTACAATAACAAGCAGAATTAATGTCTTTATTGCTTGATGGTGGTACCATCTCAAAGAACTTCCTATCACTAAGCTAATGTTAACAATTAATGTGTGTGTATACTATACATTATATATAGTTGAATAATTGGTGAATTTACAAAACTATCAGAGGGCTAATAAACATGAAATTTCATAAGAAATTCAAATATTCTAGCAATGGGCTAGAAAATCTTTAGGCCCTTGTTTTCTGACTAAGGCTCTCCTAACTGAGTTATTTTGGCCAGGCCAATGACTTATTTTAATTATTAATGTTAATACTAATGCCACCTGGAATTTTCAGCATTGCACGCAGATTTCCAAATAACATCTTAAATGTGACAGCCAAAGCATTGTTTCCACATGTCAAAAGACCCAAGACACATGTTTTTGTATCTGCTTTCAGTGGTATTTGCTAATTGTTTTTGTCTGTAACATTGGTCTGTACATATCTCCATTTTCTTGGATTGTAACAACACTGGCTTGTCGGTTGTCTCTTGATCTCAGTTTTAAATACCTTCAATTTTTCATCAGGGTTGAGGATCATCTGGGCTAAGTGAGCAATAGCTCCTGCATCCACCACCGTCTGTGCTAACTCTGGAGAGTGCTTTGAAATATCACTGAGGGCCGAGGCAGCAATCCTTTTCAAAGCAATTTCTGGCTCCTGGATACAGAGCACTAAAAGAGGGACAGCTCCTGCATCCACCACAGCTTGTGACAGTTCTGTGGGTCCAAGAAAAGTAATTAAGTGAGTATGGGTGACTGACCCTTGTGCAAGCCATCTTTCACCCTGACAGATACAGCAAAGAAAAAAGGGGAGGGTGTACTTCACTCTCTCGACATCTGCATTTCAAATCAGCCTTTCAGATTTCATAAACCATGTGGACCAATCCTGAGCTGAAAAGAACACAGGTCAATAGATGGACCTCCATTTACATGAACACATTTGAGGTAGATTAGGCTGAAATGGCTTGTTATCCTTTTTTTTTTTTTTTTAAAGAGAGTAAGCAGATGTCAGCTGTTTAAGCTCTGGCAATTCTGTACTTCTCAATAGGCAAGCATTTTATGCATGGTTTACAATAACAGAGAAAATTAAAGTACCAAAAATTTACCAACCACACTAATTAGGCAGTATTTTGTTCTATTTCTATGAGTAAACATTAGCATGAATCATAGACCAATAATGAATAATGTCAATTTTTAAATTCCCTTTATCTTCTAATACTTAGAAAAGATTTTCTAAAATGTTTTATACAAAATAAAAGGCTTTCTTCTCATTACATGCCAAAATATATTATTAACACACTTTTATATATAAGTATTAATATTTAGATAAGGGAATAAATTTATATTAATCTGTGTATACAGAGAGCAAACAAATACCTTTTGAATATATATATATATATATATATATTTACTTATATGTCCAAGAACAGTAGCTATAAAATAATAATTTTACATTTCAGAGAATGAGAGGTGTTGAGGCAAACCCTTAAAATGCACATGCAATAAATGCCATTGAGAAGCAGGAAGCTCTTACTCAGTAACACATTCTAATCCTGATGTGTGTGGTCTCACGGGATCACACACACCATTTCTCCAGTCTCTTCCTTCTAAATTATGTTTGTATCCCTCCATATTTCTAGTTCCAAATATGTGTGTGTGTGTGTGTGTGTCTTAATTGTGATGCTAAAATAGCTGTTGACCATGTCACTTTAGTCTTTAATTTGAAGAAAATACCTTTTCAAAAGATTGCTAATGCTACATTTTCTAAAAGAAACTAATGTTAGCAAATATAGGTTAGTGTCTATAATTTGTTTTCCTCAATTATCATAATTATCTTAGAAGTCTCAATAATGTTTAATAATTTTATTCATTCTTTCATTAAACAAGTATTAATAGAAGGTTAACATGTGCCAAGTTCATTGAATTCTAGAGCCTGTGACACACTTCTACAAATTAACACTACATTCATTAGCAAATGTTTTAATTTAAAAAATAACCTGGTATGTAATGTGATTTAAATGTGAAGTTTATATGCCATCTCAAAAAACCTGGGGAAATAAGAGGAATCATTTTTTCACAAACAATTTCAGACAGACTTGGGCATCACACAGCAATGAAACAGGTCCCTCAGAAGTACCTGCTACTCCACCCATCAGAAATCGGACAGGACAGAAGGCAAACCTTGCTTTTCTCCTACACCCACCCACTCAAGGGAAAGGGCGAGAAGATAAAGTACAGTGTGTGTGTCGTGTCTAAATCCAACACTCAAATTTCCTGTTAATTAACAGGCTCCTCCTGACAGATTCCACCAACCCAAATTATACAGGTGTCATATGGTAATATTAATTTTATACGTGCCTTTTGGAATATAATGGACAAGATGGTAACTACTGTCAATGTAACACTCAGGAGCAGAGCTCCCAGCACACCTGTGAGAGGTTGTTTAGATCAAGGTAGCCTCTTAGAGTGTCAGAGAAGGATTATCTTAAGTCAGAAGACCTACTTTTATTATGGACAATATTGTTCTCTGAGTAGGAGGACCCTGAGCTCCATAAGACTCAGACTGCAAACTGAGAGGTACCATGGGTGACCTCATTTATTCCTCTCTGCTCTTGTCTATGGATGTAATGTGACCAATTCTCTCAAGTTCCTACCACTGTGATGTCCCTGCCCTGATGGGCTGAAACCTGGAATTGTGCGCCAAATAACCCCTTTCTCCCTCACAGCATTTTTCACAGCAACAGGAAAGAAACTAAGGAGCCAAACATTTATCTAAAGAAAGTAGAAAAATTAATCCACTTCTGTGTTTTCACTCTCATGCAGTTTCAAGGAGTAAAGAACATACAGTGAACTTCATCTCTTTAAAGGAAATATCAAACCATCCCCAGCTAAATAAATAAGCTATTAACAACAAAAACTTAAGGTTCTCCCTACAAGACTCCTATTTTATAGTATACATGTTTTCTCATGGAATGGTTGAGTGACAAATGCTCCATCACCCAAATGCTGAACTGTTAATAGTAAAGTATACTGTCCAGACAAGCTACCTAGCTCCACACTCTGCTGCCCTGCAACCTCTCCAGAGCAGTGTTGTTAAATGTTGGAAGACTGAGAGTGCCCCGGAAAAAGATTTTCAATAAGGTGATGAACTTTCCATGGCCCTGCACTAGGCCCAGCAACTTAGATTCTCAGATTCTCCACATCAGTAAACATACATGGTCCCACGATGCTGGGATATGCCGTTGAATGCCACATGGTGTTCCTTGGAAGTAATACTGTCCTATTACCTTCACACATGTGGTCTCTATTAGCTGCTCTTCCCCAGGTGAGGACACATTGGCCTGGAATTATGTTACATGTCCTGCCTTCGACTCCACTCTCTCTTCAATGGTTTATCTTCCTCCTTTTCCCAATTACTGTTTCCTAGTGTGTCAAGCTAGTGACCACTGGTGTTTACCCAGCATACTTGTCAGAGAGGGCATGGGCTTGGGAGTCCATCTTGACCAAAAGGACCTGAGTTGAAGTCTACTGGAAGCTTTGTAGAGAGTTGTTCTCCAGTAGACTGATTCACAATAGCTAACAGCACTGTTTCTTCACTGGGTATGGTCACGTTTGGAAAAGACATCTGAAACACCTTGTGGAAGATATCGCCAATATTTTGATGATGGCTGAGTACAAAAATGAAAACATCTGGGTCCTCCATGACACTGTTCAGCTTGGAACTGCCCTGACTCTTTAGGCCATCTGACATAACTTATTTTTAAAGTTCTGATTGCTTAAGTCACTGTTCCATAGCATACAGCTAGAAACGTCCAGATACAATTCTTTCCTGTCCTATGCTTGTTGTATATCCATATGTCTCCATCTGCCTTCACTTGCCAAGTATTCCAAGTGTTTCCTACTGGCTGGAAATCTGGCTAGACTTGTTGGAGTTAAACAAAATAAAACCTTGCTGTAGACAAGTACTCACTCCAGGTGAATGTAGGAACATACTTCCACAAGCACAGGGCAGAGCCAGGCTTTGGGTTTTTGCATGTTCAAGGAAATGTGGACAGTGGCTTCATCCCAAGAAATGCTTCCCAGCTACTGCCTTCTCTCCTTCCCCTTTCCCTTCGCTTTTCTACCTTAGTCTCCCCTGAGACTGGAGTTAAAAGATGTGGTTGCTAGGACGCAAACCTAGGTTCTCTGGAAGAGCAGTCAGTACTCTTAACCACTGAGCCATCTCTCCTCAGGGGGCTCATTTTAAAAGTTTAGAAACCAGCTTGTGGATGTTAAATTAGCACCTGTATGAAAGCAGATGCTCACTGAAGGCTGTTTCAAAAATAAAAAAGTAGGACAGATGTGGTGGCAAATGTTTTTAATCCTAGCACACAGGAGGAAGAGGCAGGCAATTTCTGTGAATTCCATTCTAGCCTAGTCTACATAGTGAGTTCCAAATCAGTCAGGGCTACATAGTATAAGACTTTATCTAAAAAAAAAAAAATCAACTAACTTTTAAAGAGTAGCCAAGAAATTCATCTTCAGTACCTGAAAATATCTTAGCCTCATTTTAAGTTCTTTAAAAAATTTATTTATTTTACATATCAACCACAGTTTCTCCTTTCTTCCCATCCCTCCCTGAACCTCCCTCCTACCCACTACCCTCCCATCCACTCTTCCTCTATCTCCATTCAAAAGGGGTAAGACCTCCCACTGGAGTCCACAAAGCATAGCATATTAGATTGAGGCAGGATCAAGCTCCTCCCCTCTGTACCAAGGCTGAACAAGGTTCCAAAGAGCCAGCTTATGCATCAGGGACAGGTTCTGGTCCCACTGCTAGGGGCCCCACAAAAGACCAAGCTACACAACTGTCATCCCCATGCAGTGGGCCTAGGTTTGTCCCATGCTGACTCCGTAGCTGTCTGTCCAAAGTCTGTGAGCTCCCACAAGCTCAGGTCAGCTGTCTCTGTGAGTTTCCCCATCATGACTGTGACCCCTTTGCTCATATAATCCCTCCTCACTCTTCTCAACTGGACTCCTGGAGCTCAGCCCAGTATTTGCTTGTGGATCTCTGCATCTGCTTCCATCAGTTACTGGATAAAGGCTGTATGATGACAATTAGGGTACTCACTAATATGATTAAATGGGAAAGCCAGTTCAGGTTCCTCTCCACTATTGCTAGGAGTCTTAGCTGGGGTCATTCTTGTGGGTGCCTGGGGGTTTCCCTGGCACCAGGTTTCTCCCTAACCCCATAAGGGCTCCCTCTATCAAAATATCTTTTTCATTACTTTCCCCCTTTGGCCCTGCCCCAACTCTACCATCCTTATCCCTCATGTTTCTCATTGTAAGTTTTAAACTAATCTTTAAAACTAATTTATAAACATCTTTTATTATACAATATGTGACATAATATTATACTGTTCAACAACAGATTAAAAGTGTATGTAACCACATTTCAAAAGTACATGGGAGGCTTTGTAGGGTGATACACTCCTATGCAGAATTTGGGAGGGTAGGTAAGACATAGCAAGTTTGAGACCAGACTAGACTGCATGAAATCCTGCTTACTGCAGGAAATGGAAGCAGCCTGGAATTCCATCAACTATAACACATATACAAAATGTAGTTTTATTAAAATTTTAGGTTAATGTATGAAATTGGAAAAAAATATATTTAGTGAAGTAACCCAGACATAAAAACAAACATCTTCTACCAGGCCTGGTGGCACAATCTTTAATCCCAGCTAGCACTTGGGAGGCAGTA